GGGATTCGAACCCGCCACCTTAGGTGTACATGGCTGGCGCCTTAGCCGGTTGAGCCATAGGCGCCGAGCCGTTTTTATAGCTCTTAATAGTCATTAGCAAGTACGTTTCTCTGTTTGTACTTCCATATGTGCCACCATTTTTTCCAATTATAAAAGTAATAATCTTTAACCTTAAAACAGAAAAAGAAAAGAAAAAAATCATTTGTAATCCCAGTATTCAGATGCATCTTGTTTTGTATCTTCCTATCATATTTTATGATGAACATAAATCAGCTCATGCTTTGGTATACTTATGGTTTTGTTATCTCAATTTTATTTTATATTGTTATTTTTTGAGACAGAGTGCCATGGCAGCATTGTAGCTCACAGTAACCTCAAACTCCTGACTTCGAGCAATCCTGTTGCCTGAGCCTCCTGAGTAGCTGGGACTACAGGTGCCTGCCACCACGCCTGGCTAATTTTTCTATTTTTAGTAAAGATGGGGTCTGAGTCTTGGTCAGGCTGGTCTTGAACTCCTGAGCTGAGGTGACCCATTTGCCTTAGCCTCCCAGAGTGCTAGGATTACAGATGTGAGCCACTGCACCCAGCCTTCTTATCTCCATTTTATATTTAGGAAGGGGATATCATTTATTTTAAACTAAGTAGTAGGACATGGGTGGTGTTTGCCCTGTCATAATTCATTGAGTTGTACACTTTGACATTGTGTGCTTTTCTATACGTATGTACAGAAATAGCTTCACAATTCAAATAGCTTTTAAAAAGTCATCAGCCCTCAAATCTAGTTGAAAACGTCTCTTAGTAACTTATCATGCAGCCTTCTAATTCCATTCATACCTACGATGTATTGTGCATGCTGTTTTGTAACATGCTGTTTGTACTTGATGTATTGTGAACATCTGCCTTTTGATCACATAATGTCAACTACAATGGGCGTAATCAAAAAGACTAAAAATACCCAGGGTTAGAGAAGAAACTGGAAACTTCATACACTGCTAAGGGGATGTAAAATGGTGTAGCCACTTAGGAAAACAGTTTGGCAATTTCTAAAAATAAGTATACACTTATTTATACTTAAATATATACTTATTGGTGGTGTGGAACCACTAATTCCACACCTAGGTATTCCATAAGAGAAACAACATATGTTCATACAAAGTTTTATATGCAAATGTTTATAGCAGCATTCATAATAGCCAAAACATGGAACCAATCCAAATGTCAAAAAACTGATGAATGGATAAACAAACTGTAGTATATCTAGAAAATGGGATACAATGCAGCAATAAAGTGGGACAAACATCTCATAATGCTGTAACATGAACAAACCTTGAAAATATCTCAGATGAAAAGAGCCAAGCACAAAATATTATACTCTGTATGATTCCACTCGCATTTTTAATGTTGGCATATAGTTGCATTGCACGGATACAGCATAAATCATCTAACCAGGCCCTATTGTTGGACTTGATGTTGTTTCCTATTTTTCAATATTACAAATAGTACTACAACGATCATCTTTGTGGCCAGATATTTCTGGCTAGCCTTAATTATATCTTTGGACCAATGTCCAGAAGTGGAATGGCTGTTTGAAGGTCTCTGCATTTTAAGGCTTTGGGTAAGTATTGCCAAATGGCCCTCTCCAAGGTTTGCTTGATGCTGTCGTCCTGCCAGCACAGCAGCAAGGTCTACTGTCTCCTTTCTCAAATACAGCACTTCCCTGATGGTACTGGTCACTCATGGGAGTGCTGTCCTAGGCCCCAAAATCCTAACCTCACTGTGCCCTGTGTTGTTTGCAGTTCCCCTGGGTACGCTGCCACCATGCTGCTCCTCGTCAATAGTGCCAATTGTCAAATGGCAGGTTTTGCTCTTATCACCGTGGGATGGCTCCTGTCAGCGACTTCCATGGGCCTCGCGGAGTGGCGAGTGTGGCACATAGACAATGCCTCATCATTCCCCCCTGGTATCGCCTGTGTGGGAATGTGGAGAGTCTGCATCTACCACCATAATAGCAACATCAGCAAAGCCAAATTTTGTCACCAGTACACCTTCCTTGATGACTTTCTGCCTGCTGACATTCATCTTTCTCAATACCTCCTGCTGGCTGCCACCATACTAGGGCTCCTGGGGAGAGGCTTCCTCATTTTAGCACTTAGGAACGTGTACCTGGGAATTGTTCAGAAGCATGACATTAACAGTCCGTTTATCATTTCAGGGGTTCTGAACATAATTGCTAGTGTCTGTATCACAGTTGCTGTGCTCCACAATTACAGCTGTATCAGACATCTACGGGGGATTGCCTTCCCGCCATCCTTCCGTCTGCCCTTCAAGCCAGATAGCCAGGAAGCCGGGAGTGCTGCTTTAGTAGCAAGTCTGGGTGCCTTCCTGATGTTGTTAAGTGGGATTTTTTCTCTCTTTTACACTTTTCCCCTGGATAGCCAAGTGCATCCTATGAGTTGGGAAATATGAATTTCCCTGTTGCATTCACTTTGCAAATTCAAGATTCCCAGGAGTTTATGGAAAGTATTACCAGAATATTTTACCAAATATTTCTGAGGATTCAAGACCATGTCAAATGTAGTTCAAGATGGAAAATAGCCAACTGTTTTTTTCTCTTGTCTTGTGTTCTGAATGTTGTTCATTGATTGAATTGGGAACTTTCATTAAAAATATATCTTGCCTACTTGTCCATTAGTGTTATTGGATGGGGGTTTTAATTATTGTTGGCTAAAGTAAATAAAACTTTCTGAATACATTTACCTCTCACCTCTCTTAAACTTTTGCTAAAAATGATAATGGACTTTATTTCATGTGTCATGATAATAGCATCTCCCTACAGTATAAAGTTTTCCAAAATGTACATAGGTAAAGAAGATGGTATTTGGTAGGCCTTGTTTGAATCAATAAGGATTGCAAATATTGACTTTCTAATATGAACATTTGTTGGTGCCACAGTGTGCTTAATCAATGCTATGTGCTCTTTCCCCATCCCACCAATGTTCAATGTATAACACCTGCTTGCTAACGAGTGCCTGATCTTATCTCATTAATGCCTGCAGCTGCTTGAGGGCTTGTCTCCGGGTTCAAATATCTCCATGCTAGCTGGGAGATTGTCTCCTTCCCAGCGCCTTCTTCAAGAACAGGTGACCGCTTCCACAAGCTTGGTGCATAGTCTCCTACAAACATTCTTGCCAGATTTATTAGCTGAGATGTCTTTGTAAAGAGTTTTCCCTTGCTGGGTGTGGTGGCTAATGCAGCTGTTTGGGAGGCTGAAGCAGGAAGATCTCTTCAGCCTAGGATAAGGTGACCAGACGTCCCGATTTTTAACAATTTGTCCTGCATCCCGTGGCATTTTTAAAAAGTCCCAATTTTTGGAAAGAATGCATGACAAGCTAGGGAACAGAGGGAGAATGGGAAGGGAATATACAGTTTTCTCACAGCTGAAACGGTTAATGTAACTCCATTTGGGAATGAAGAGGTTAATGTAACTTCATTTGGAAATGAAAAGGCTAATGTAAACTCCCTACTCCCCTCCTGCTCAAGGTATCAGAAGGAGACTGCTCCCTCCCTTGTCCTAGGCAAGGACAATCAGCTCAGAAGGAGCCAAACTGTCTGGAACAAACAAGTAGCCCCCCCCTCTCTAGAATAAGGTGACCAGATGTCCCACTTTTGGCCAGATAGTCCCAATTTTTAACAATTTGTCCTGCATCCTGTGGTGTTTTTAAAAGCCCCGATTTTTGGAAAGAATGAACAACAAGCTAGGGAACATGGGAGAACAGGAAGGGAATATACGGTTTTTGGCTGCCATGTGGCTGTTTCTCCAGGATATGCATTTTATATTATTTTTGTTAATTTTATAATGTTAAACTTTAATAATAACAAATAATTGTTGAGAACTGATTATCAAGAACTGCTTATCAAAGTTTGCATTTGTTGTCAGGCCCTGCCCCCACTCCCCTTGCCCCCCACCATGGTGTCCTGCTTTACCAATGTTAAAATCTGGTCACCTTAGCCTAGGAGCTTGAGGCTAGCCCTGGGGAGACCTCATTTCTAAAGGAAGAGAGAAAGAGACAGAGGGAAACAGAGAGAGAGCTTGTTTTCCCTCATCAATTATGGCTATTTGATTACTCTAAAATTCAGTGCATACAAAAAAGGTAGAGTAAATGCTTTGTTATTTTGCTCTAATTGCTGATTTCTAGAGTAAAGAGGAAAGAATGCCCTAGTTATGTTTAGTTTTGTTCACTGTATTGGGTTTTTATTTTTGCTATTTTTTTTCTTTTTATTCTTTGAGTATAAACTCAGGAGATTGTTTTTGGTTTTAGGAAAAAAATCATGATTCTCAGTTCAGTCTTAACTTACATAACTTTTATTTATTTATTTATTTATTTTTTTGAGACAGAGCCTCAAGCTATCACCCTGGGTAGAGTGCCATGGCATTACAGCTCACAGCAACCTCCAACTCCTGGGCTCAAGCGAGTCT